TTTCTTTCTTTCTTTCTTTCTTTCTTCTTTCTTTCTTTCACTTATTTTGGTGGTGCTTGGGGAAAAACCCAGGTCCTGGCATATGCTAGGCAAGTGCTTTTTCACTGAGCTACATCTTCAGCCCATACGTTTAATTTTAAATAATTTATTTTATAAGTTTGATAATTTAGCAACCTGTATATTGAAAAGCAAATAGAGACTTACAAAGAAACATTTGTTAACTCTAAGAATCTTTAGAATTTTCTACTCCAGATTTATGCCTGTCAGTGAATCAATATTTATCTTACTAAAATATTTTATCCTTAGTACTATTGAAAGATTATCAGGTACATTAAAATTTTATCAACATATTTTTAATACCTGCTCTGGGCTGACAATTTTTACATCTTGGATTGTGTATAGAAAGTGTAGGGCATAGAGATTGCTCTGTAGAGCAGAGAACATAGCGCTTGGCCATAGTTGGTGCGAAATAAATATTTTCATATGTAAGACATCTGCTTATAATCTGTTGGGAAAAGAACACATGAGCAAATAGCATGAAAAGAAAAAAATTATTGTACATATTGTTTTGCCTTCAAAAAGACAGGCAAGAGAATGGTTTTTCTTTTTTTCTTTTTTTTTTTTTTGGTTTTTCTTCCGGTACCAGGAATCGAACTCACGACCTTGTGCTTGCCAGGCAGGCGCTTTGCCGCTGAGCTAACCAGCCCCTGGTTTTTCATTTATTGTGCAAGATGGTAATAACTGTGACGGTGTAACTTGGGGAAGTCGAGGTACAACCAAATTGCATTACATCATAGGAGTATCTTAGAATTACAGGAGATCAAATAGATGAAAAAGAACTAGGAGAATGCTACAGGAGTCTACAAGGTCAAGTTTGGGACTTACTTTGAGGATAGTATAAAGAGGAGATAAGAACAAAAGATTAGTTTTGATAGACATTCTGGGTATGCACTGCTATGCAATGTATGATGTCTATGGTCTTCATCGCCTCTAAAAGTCTTTGGTACTATGTATTATTTGATAACAAGATGTGACAAACAGTGATTGTACCTCGGGCGATTCATGAAGGGAGAAAAGGAGTTCTCAGAGGGAAAATAGCAACATGGCTCCAATGTTAAAGACTGGGCTAAACAGACCAAAAGAAACATGAAGGTGATGCCACTATCCCAGTGAATAACATAAGTGATTCATGGGAAGGGACTTTAGGAAATTGAACTCTTGATAGGCTACTCTGCTTTGGGAAGTCTTAAGGGAGGAAAATACACCTGATTTTGATGCATAGACATGGAAAGCAGAGAAGATATTTATGTAAAGAGAGAAACAAGAAGTCAGGAAACCAAACAGATGCTGCGATGACAATGATCTTAGCATGGATAATTAAATCAATAAGGCACTACAGTATGGAGCACACACTCTGTCCTTCCTTACTCTTTCGATTGATAGGTCTCTTTTCTGTATCCTTGATTTCTTTCTTAACCTTAGTTTTCTTAATTTTAAGGCCCTCTTTGTAACTAACAAATGAAATTACTGTCTGACCTAAAGGACTAAAATAGGAGCTGACATATCATGTTGCCAGCAATCAACAACTTTTACATACAAAATGGTAAATTTATGTGACTCATCCTGAATTGAAACACTGTATTAGCAGCAAAGCTCCAAGTGAAAGTACATTCTTATGACTTTTTAAGGGTAGACAGCATATCTTAGTGAAGCTGTGTAATACCTTGCTTCTGTGATTGACAAACCCAAGTTCAAAATATAGAGCTATCCTCATCTAGCACATGGCTTTGAAGCATTTACTCAACTTCTCTAAGACTTAGGGTTATTATAATAACAGTGTTTGCATTTCTCTGAGTCACTGTGGTGATTAAGTGAGCTAAAGCATGATTGCCAACGTTGTGTGTAAGAAATGTTGGCTACCTAACGATTGATGTTCGGTTAACTTTTTCTGCTGAGGCCATTGTACCTTGCTTCACAGCTTTTTAGCTTTTGGCTGTCTTTATCAATTCTCTAATATTGATTTTGCTGCTATGTCTTCTGGTAACCTCATATATGAAGTTATTTATTATGTTTTTGTAGCACCTCTCCTGTAAATCTGCAAACATTGAGAGACTATAAGACTACAATACTCCTTTTGGTGTAGATATAGGGTTTAGCAAATCAAAGCATAAAAATAAGCTTTTTCATATTCTCTCAACAATCACTTCTCTTACTGCAAATATT